TGGCTCTTTCCTTTTTTTTTGGGGGGGGAGAGGTTTTTTGTTTTGTTTTTGTTTTTGCTATAGGGCACATGCACTCACCAAAAAGACAGAAAGAGACCTCACCAGAGAGAGAAGAGAAATCCCCCCCCCCCGGGGGGGGATGGTCATGCTGCAATCCATTCTCCTCTCAGAATTTTAGGCACACATACATATGCATGTGGCTTGTTTTCAAGCTGCTGGACATGGGACTTGAACTGCAAAGTTGCCCCTGTGGGATCCAACTGCCTTAACCACAACACTGCTGGCTGGCTCTAGTTGAATTAAAAAAATATATATATTTTTGGGAGGTTTATATTATAGGACGCATGCTCTTGCCAGAAAAACAGAGCGAGAGAGAGACAGAAAGCGAGAAATCACCCCCGGGGGTGGGGGATGGCCATGCTGCAATCCCTTCTCCTCCATTCTCCTCATGGGATCTTGGACATGCATGCACCTGCACCAGGCGTGAGTTAAATCCACTGAGCCTGGGAATTGAACCGCAGTTGACTACATGGGAGTTCAGTGACATAGCCATTAGGCCAGCTGCTGCTCTCCTGAATTAAAATTTTTAAAATGTTTATTTCTTCCATGAGATGGGGGATAGGTACCTGAACTGGATGTTCATACTGCACTTCACCCTTAGTCTCAGCCAGCCTGATTCTAGGACATAAGCTTCACACCTTGTGTGGTCAGGGAGGTCACAGCATATGAATCCAGGACCTTTCCAGTTTGTCCACTGAGCACATGCTTACCCAGAGAGAAATGGGGTACGGGAAGGAAGAGAAAGAACCTTGCAATGGGGCATGATCATGCTGCAGGCCTTTCTTCTCCATTCCTTTGTCCTGTCAGGATGTGGGGTATGCACATGTGCCTGGTGTGTTTTTCAAATCTGTAGGGCCAGGATTTGAACTGTGGTTGACTATGTGGCATCTGACTCTTTTAACCAATAGGCTGTAGGGACGATCCTGAAATAATATAAAAAATAAAATACTGGCGGGGCCAGTGAGTGGTATGGTGGTTAAAGGCACTGGACTCCCACATGGCCGACCACGGTTCAAGTTGCGGACCTGTTGGTTTGCTTTCTCACTTCTTCTCTCTCTCTCTGTCTCTCTCTGATCAAACTGGAAAATAATAATGATAATAATAATAAAGTTAAATAAAATAATTGTTTAAAAAAATAAAATACTAGGATTTTTAGAAACACACTGTAGACAGTTAAATTTTCTAGATACACACTATAGTTAATTCGAGAAATAAAATGTGTATAGTCTCATATGGAAATTACTGTTAAAATTTGTATGTGTTGGGCTGGCCTCACAGCCTGGTGGTTAATGGAACCGTATTACACATGGCTGACTGTGGTTTTTCTTTTTTTTTGGAGAGATTTTTGCTATAGGGCGCGTGCGCTCGCCAGCCAGAGAGAGACAGAAAGTGAGAAATCACCCCCTAGGGGGGATGGCCACACCGCAATCCCTTCTCCTCCATTCTCCTCTTGGGATCTTGGGCACGCACACACACACGCGCCTGGCGTGAGTTTAAGCTACCGGGTCCAGGACTCGAACCACAGTTGACTACGTGGGAGTCCAGCGACATAGCCATTATGCTAACTGCTGGTCCTCAACTGTGGTTTTAATCCCATCCCTCACTGCTTGAAAAGCATGCTGGGGACATGTTTGTGCATGCCCTGAATCCACACAGAATGGAGAAATGGAATAAAGTTTGTGGCATGACTATGCCCCATTGTTGGGTGCTCTTTTGCTTTCTGTCTCTCTTTTTTTTCTCTCTCTGACTAGCATACACACCTTCTTTCGATAAAAAATAGGTCTTAGTATTTTAATTTTGCATTTTATTGGTTAGTAGGTAGTTTGAACTTGAATTTATTAGCCATTTGAGGTGTTTTTTTTTTTTTTAAAGAATTATTTAACTTTGTTTATTTTTAATTTGATCAGACAGGGACAGAGTGAGAGTGAGAGCAAGTGAGAGAGAGAGAGAGAGAAAGTGAGAAAGCAAGCTGCCAGATTTGGGACTCAAACCACGGTCGGCCATCTGGGAGTCCAGTGTCCTTAACCACCACACCACCTGCTGGCCCTGAGGTTTTTTGTTTTTTTTAAACAGCATGGTCTATTCTGGTACTTTGCCAAACAACTTGGGGTTAAGTGTTGTACCCAAAGTGAATGTTTTAGTTTTCAATTTACTTCCCTGATACTCTTCCTTTAAAAAGATGGAGAGGGCAACCAGCAGATGGTGTAGTGGTTACTTTGCTCGACTCCCATGTAGTGAGCTGCAGTTTGAGTCCCAGACCTGGTGGCTTAAAACTCATGCTGGGTGCATGTGCGTGCATGGCCGAGATCCCAAGAGGAGACTGGAGTAGAAGGGATTGCGGTGTGGCCATTCCCCCAGGGGGTGATTTCTCACTGACTGTCTCTCTATGTCTTTCCACTGAGTGAATGCGCCCTACAGCAAAAAAAACCTCTCTCTAAAGAAAGATGACAAGAAAGAGAAAAGGTCTAAAGGAGCACACACACAGTTATCTAAATATGGAACCTGTAAAACGGAAGAAGAGTAAAAAGAAGTGGTATTTGGGTTTGTGGGAAAAAAACAACTTGTTTATGGGGTGGGGGAATGGGTTAGGAATACCAAGCTTGTCTTCTTTCTATGAGAGATTAACTGCTGTATCTCACACATTTCATTTATAGATATGATAAGTAACTAAATAAAGATTTCTTCTGCTAAATTGTAAGCTCTTTTAAGCTCAGGGGATGAGAGTTTGCTTCTGTATTCTCCATAAAATTCATCATAGTGTTGATTATATAGTACAGCTTAATATTTATTTAGCTTTATTTACTGTTTTTAAGTAGAGCAGGGAATAGTTCCTGTCTAGTTGAAAGCAATCTTATGACATCTAGGCCAATTGAATCTTCATAGTGATATTTATGGGATGAAGGAAGAGGGGAATGTTTAAGGTAAAAATAAAGTTACTATAGTATATTCAAATAAAAAATAGCTAGTGTTCAGATTACATGTTGGAATTGCTTAAATCATGTAAAACCTAGTCAATAACTGTTAAGTGCATTTAGAAAATGGTAAAACATTGGGGCCAGTAGGTGGCATGACGGTTAAGGCTCTGGACATTCCCACATGGCTGACCACGGTTCAAGGCCTGGACCCTGGTGGCTTGCTTTTTCACTCTCTCTCTCCTCTGTGTGTGTATCTCTCTGATCAAACATTTTTTAAAAATGAGTTAATAAAATAAAAAATAAGTAATTCTTAAAAAAATAAGAAAATGGTAAAATCTTTTATAGCTAAATCTGTTGCTTATAAGGTTTATGTCTTAAATTTGATCATTTACTGGCCTCAGGTTTTTTATTTTGTCACTTTAGATCTTTTTGTTGTAAAATAAAATTCATATAGAACACCACACAAAACTAAGGTAAATTATAAGGCATCCTTTTTCGTAATCACCATCCAAGTCAAGAAGTAGAACTTTGCCAGTTCTCCCTTTTGTCCTGGCTCAATCACAACCTCCTCACCTGAAAAGGAACCACTATGCTAAATTTACAGTAGTAGTCTTTTTTTGCCTTTTTTTTTGCAATAGGGCGTATGTGTTGGAGCAGTTGGGGGAGGATGTGGTGAAAGCACCCCACAGAGAAAATGGCCATGCTACAGTTCCTTCTACTCCGTCCTCCTCTCAGGCTCCTGGACACATACACACATGTGCCTGGTGTTTTTTTGTGCCTGGTGTTTTTTTTTTTTTTTTTAAGAGGTTTTTTCACTATAGGGCACGTGCGCTTGCCAGACAGACAGAGACAGAAGGACAGAAAGCGAGAAATCACCCCCCAGAGGGGATGGCCACGCCACAGTCCCTTCTCCTCCATTCTCCTCTTGGGATCTTGGGCACGCACGCACACGCGCCCGGCGTGGGTTTTAAGCCACCGGGTCTGGGGCGCGAACCGCAGTCAACTACATGAGAGTCCAGCGACATAGCCATTACGCTAACTGCTGGTTCCCATGCCTGGTGTGTTTTTGAAGATACCAGGTCTGAGGCTGGAA